CAAGGCTATCATTCAAAATAGATGTGAAATAAAGAGCTTCCCAGACAAAAAAAAAAAGAGCTAAATAAGTTTATCACCACCAAACCAACACTCCAAGAATGCTAAAGGGACTGCTGTAACGAGAAGAATAAGGAGAGAGAAAAACATAGGCATTGAGCATTAAAATGGCAATAAATAAGTACCTATCAATAATAACCTCAAGTGTAAATGGATTAAATGCTCCAATTAAAAGACATAGGGTAGTTAATACATGACCCAATTATATGCTATCTATAAGAGACCCACCTCAAAACAAAAGACTCACACAGGATGAGAGTGAAGTGATAGAAAAAATGTTCCATGCAAATGGAAATGAAAAGAAGCTGGGGACAATACTCATAGCTGACAAAACAGACTTAAATATGAAGGCCATCACAAGAGACAATAAAAGTCACTACATAATACTAAAGGGATTGATCCAACAAGAGGATATAACCTTGGTAAACATATATGCACCCAAAATAGGGGCACCTAATCTATATATATAAAGAGCCAGAGGTCGTCACATCCAAAACAACTGAACAGACGACCAAACAGGCTGAGTGGGGTGATAAAGCTGGCACGGGGTTAGTGAGGGACAACCAAATGACTGAGCAGCAGGCTGTGTGGGGTGACCAGGCCAGCAGGGGGTTAGTGAGGGACGACCAAATGACTGAGCAGCAGGCTGCGTGGGGCAACCAGGCCGGCAGGGAGGGCAGTGAGGGGTGACCAAATGACCGAACAGCAGGCTACATGGGGCAAACAGGTCGGCACAGGGGGCACTGAGGGACGACCAGGCCGGCAGAGGTCAGCAAGGGGCGACCAGGCCGGCAGGGGGTGCAGTTGGCGGCAACCCAGACAGTAGGGGGGGGCAGTGAGGGGTGACCAGGTTGGCGGGGGGGGCAGTTGTGGGCAACCAGGCCAGCAGCAGGGCAGTTGGGGGTGACTAGCTGTGCAGGGGGGCCAGTAATGGGTGACCGGGCCAGCAGGGGGGAGCAGTTGGGGGCAACCAGGCTGGCAGGGGAGAAGCTGGGGTCAACCAGGCTAGCAGGGGGGTGGCAGTAAGGGGTGACTAGGCTGGCAAGGGGGGCAGTTAAGGGACACCAGGCTGGCAGAGAGGGGCTGTGGGGGGTGACCAGGCTGGCAGGGGGGCAGTAAGAGGTGACCATGCTGGTGGGGTAGGCAGTTAGGGGCAACTAGGCCAGCAGGGGTGGGGCGCAGTTGCGGGCGACCAGGCCAGTGGGGGGGGCAGTTAGGGGTGATCAGGTCAGCAGGCAAAGGCAGTTAGGGGTGATCAGGCAGGCAGACAGGTGAGCAGTTAGAAGCCAGCGGTCCTGGATTGTGAGAGGGATGTCCCGGATTGGAGAGGGTGCAGACTGGGCTGAGGGGACCTGCCCCCAGTGCACGAATTTTGTGCACCAGGCCTCTCGTTATATATATATATATATATACTAGAGGCCTGGTGCACAGATTTGTGTACATTGAAAGGAAATTAGTTAGAAGGTGACCAGCGGGGCAGGACTGGGCGAGACAAACTAGACATGCCCTAGAGCCAACCTTCTGTGGTCCCACCCCAGCCAGCCACACCTGGGGCGGCACTGGGGCTCAAAGGGCATCTGAGGAGTGAGCGGGTCCTTCTGGCAGGTGGGGTCCCTCAGCCTGGCCTGCGGGGATCAGGCCAAAACTGGCAGTCCGACATCCCCCAAGGGGTCCCGGAGTGAGAGAGGGCACTCTGCAAAGTTGCTGTCACTCGGCAGCTCCTGCGTTGAGCATCTGTCCCCTGGTGGTCAATGCACATCATACCTACTGGCTGGTTGGCCGGTTGGCCGGTCACTTAGCCATATATATATATATATATATATATATATATATATATATATATATTACTTCTAGAGGACCTTAAGGGAAAGAGCAGCAGGAATAGAGTCATAGTAGGGGGCTTTAACACCTTGTTTACTTCCCTGGATAGATCTTCCAGCCAAAAAATTAATAAGGAAACAGAGGCTCTAAATGACACACTGGATCAGATGGATTTAATTGACATTTACAGAACATTTCACCCCAAAGCTGCAGAATATACAACTTCTCAAGTGCACATGGGTCATTCCCAAAGATAGACCACATGTTAGGACACAAAACAAGTCCCTACAAGTTCAAGAAGACTGAAATCATATCAAGCATCTTCTAAAAATGTACATAATAGACAGGGAGAATGAAATGAGTGATAGTGCAAGAAGTCAGATGAGTATTTCCACTTATCTATGCAGATATAAAGGTAATGGTCAGAGTGACATACAATATATTTAACAGCTAATATGATATAGCCTTAGACTAAATTGTTGTAGATTATGAATCAAAAAGAAGGCCTTGCAGGGTTCTACACCTGTGAGTGGACACCCGTGTCCTTTCCAACTTTTTATTTGACTTACAAGGCTGAAATTCTCTTTAGTACTTGGGAACCTGGTGTGGGACTGGGTTAATTTGCATAAGTTGCTCAGAGATGTAAATTCCCATCTTGGCTTCCTCAAGTCATCAATATATGGACATTGGTTTCAAGTTATTCTGATATTTTGTAGATAGAAAGGGCAATAAAGGACTGGAAGATAAATCTACAAGAGGAGAGAAGGAGTCCAGCTGGGGTCAATAAAAAGGCTCATGGGTTGGTAGGAGAAGGCTGGTTAGGCCACAGCAAGTGACCACAACTGGAACTCACTCTCATCCCAGGCCCCATGTTAAGGATCCCTGCCGGATGCCACTGCCTCCCTTACATGGATGTTCCCAGCAATGCCAAGTGATTTCGCATTTGGAAACCTAGGACTACACAGAGCAGACATTCATTCACATGGGCACTACAGTGAAAGAGTCACAGTGTTGTGTCAAGACATTGCTTTGTGCTTTGCAGTGTTTGCATGCCTTGTATGGGGGTCTGCCAGCCACTCTTCCCAACAGATCCAATTTCTCAGGGACTAGGTGGGTCATGATTTAATCTACCCAGCCACACAGAACAGACATTTCTTTGGAGTTTTGGCACTTGAAAGCATGGTTTTTTATGGCTTTTGTAGGTTTTCCCTTAAGGTAAGAAATTCATGAACACTAATTGGAAGTTTTATAAAATTCTTTCTTTCAAACACCTGTTATACAATTCATTTCATTTTTTTAATATGTAAGTGTGAATGAAACAGCCAAAGTAAAACAAATGGCTTTTCCTTGATAGTAGTGTTAGTAGAAATGTTTCTGTTTTACACATGGAAAGCTGTCAAATTGAGGCCTAATTACTTCCCAGTTTTCAACAGGTGGTTCTTAAGGGCAAAGCAGTATTACACATTTAATAAGAACAGGAGCTAACGAGGTGGACTTAGATATTTGATTATTTAAGTATGTAACTGCACTTTTCAATATAATTAGGAATAAATTTGAATGTGTAAAGTAATAGATGTGTTTTTACATAAGTAAATGTAATTCAATGCAATCAATTACATTAGGGGCATTATTTCTCAATTCACAGCAATATAACTTTATAATTATTTATCTTAATATTTTTTCTGACAAGGGCAAATAATGTGTAATCAAAACTCACGTTTTAATACACATGAGATGCCAAGTATAATTCTATTTAGATAAAATTTATGGAAGCAAATACTAATATTCCAATAGTCTAAAAAATAAAATCAACATCCTTCCTATGCTATTGAGAATTAACTCTAGCATTTTTATAGGGATATATTACAAATTTACATTAAAAAGGAATTTTGAAGCATTTGAACAAACTACTATTTTTCACAAACTTTAATACAGAGGAATTCAGTTATATCCTGAACTCCTTTGAAGTGAATAAAAAACAAGACTTAGCATCACCATAAAATAGTAGTTTCTTCAAAAATGGTAATTTTAAGTGTAAAACTAGACTATACATATTTCACAGGCCATATTATTTTTCACATGTAAATAATCCTATAGACACCAGGTAAATATAATACCTTTTTCTAATTACCATTATTTCATTATATATACATTCAAAATAGTATATAACTGATACATAAGTTATACATATGGGACTATATCCTGGGGGTTATAAGTTTTCTCCTCAGGTTAACACATGGTAGTGTCTTTCTGAAAAGGAATAATGACATAGAACTTTCCTCTAGAGATAATCAATCTCCCTCCCTCCCGTCCTCCCTCCCTCCCTCCCTCCCTTCTTCCATTCCCTCTCTTGGTACCTCTCCTTTGTTGTCTTTAAAGAAGCAAGACATATGGATCCCTGAGCCACTAGGAAATGAATTCTGCCAACTTGGGAGAAATTGGAAGCAGCTCCTTTCTCAAATGAACCTCTGTGGAGAACCCAGGACTAGTCAATGCCTTATTGAAAACTTGATAGGCCTTAAGCCAGTGGTTCTCAACCTTCCTAATGCCGCGACCCTTTAATACAGTTCCTCATGTTGTGGTGATCCCCAACCATAAAATTATTTTCATTGCTACTTCATAACTGTAATTTTGCTACTGTTATGAATCGTAATGTAAATATCTGATATGCAGGATGTATTTAGGTGAAAGGGTCGTTCAACCCCCAAAAGGGTCGCGACCCACAGGTTGAGAACCACTGCCTTAAGCAGAGGACCCATCTAGGTCATATCTGGACCTCTGATCCATTAAAAATGTGACATAATACATTTGTATTGTTTTAACCCTCTCCGTATTTGGAAATTTGTTATGCAACAATAGATCAATACAGATAGGGCCACAGCAAGGTTAGGCATGCTTTCACTCTGCTTCCATGGAACTTCCTTAGGCAGCCATTATAGAATGTACCCACCACTAATGTAACTCTGCATATTCTTGAGGGTAAGCCCTTTGTTTAGCTACTAGAGGACTGAGATCGTTATCTACATTTCTAAAGTCTTCAGCTGCCATCAAGTCCCCTGTAGTAATTATTCCATCAGAGTGTCAGGCCAAGATGCAAGTGTACACCACAGTTTTGTCCTCACCATTTCGTTGCTAAGGATAATGATGCAGTAGCGTATCTGCATGTCAAAGGGAACAAACAAGAGCTCCAGGCTTGAAGTCCCTTTTGGTCCTGCTTTCAGGTGAAGAGTCGGTGATGGGCAGAAGAACTCTCTGATGAAACTGGACCTAATTGCTGCCAAAACATGAAGCAGAGTTTGTTTACATAACATTGCATAAGTGTCATTCAAATAAAGCAGCTGTTTCAATTAGTGAGTAAAGCTTTCAGATGCATCACAAAAATGTTTCAAGCATTAGCACACAAATTTAGAAGATAATACATATATTTGTTAATAAAAGTACCGGTGACCCTAGCACAAGCTTGATCTAATATAAAATGTATAATTATGATGCAGTATTAAAAATGCTTAATAAATAATTTCTTTCCAAAGGGAACCTCACTAGTGTTTAAAATCAGCTTGATATACAATTATCATCACCAAAGTGATCATCAAAGAATCTTTACAATTTTGGAGGACTATGTAATGGTTCACATTACAGGAAGTAGTAGAAAACCTGAACTGTTGGTTTTAAAACACGTCCACACATTCTTCCACATTTCCTTGAATGTGGTGATATGGTAGGCCAGTTTTAGTGATTTGGTCCCAACGAACAGTATGCTAGAATGTAGCAAAAGTCAAGCAGTGTGACTCCTGACATCAGATCAGAAAATGTAATACACCTTCTTCTTAATTCTCTCTCTTTCTTGGTTCTCTTGCTGTTAGAATCAAGTTGTTATCCTGTGAGGAAGCCTAGGCCACATGGAGAGGCCAAATATAAGTGTCCAGGTCAATAGCCCCACCTGAGGTACCAGACGAAAGGCATTAGTCACCAGACATGTGAGTGAGGAAGCCTTTGGAATGACTCAAGCCCCAGCCTCGATCTGACCTCAATTGCAAGAGTCTCGTTAGCTGAGGCCAGTCACCTCAGAAATGTGAGAAATACTAACCACATTACATTTTCATTGTTTAATGCCACTACATTTGGAGTGGTTTATCTGTAGGTATTGATAACCAGAACATTCCTATATCTGTTTTCCTGCCATTCTATCCAAATTTTCTAAATCTACAGTTATTTCATAAAACAAAGTAATCAGTGTTCACCTTATAGTAATTTTAAACATGGTGATACCTGTCACCTAAAAAGACTTAAGCAGTTCAGAATTAGCCAAAGGAAACATAAAGATCATTTATCTAAATACATTCATTGTAAGGGTGAGGAAACCCAGCAGTGAAAGGAAAAGATTTGGGCAGAGTTCACCAAAGGGTCATAAAAGGGCTGAGGACCAACATTTTGTGTTCCCATTCAGCCTGCAATCCTCAGGGCTTGCCATTCTGTCTATAGTTTCAATTCATAGTATGTTCTGTACATAAAATAAGAATAATACATGAAAACCAATGTTTTAATTTGAAGTACTCACAGGTTTTTAAGGTTTTGGGGGCAGTATCCTGTTCACTGTCAGTCTCAGAATCACTGTCATAAGGGAATAGAAAAACACCATCAATAACACAAACAAAACTCAAAAACAATTATCTATTTTAATTTAATCTTACAGATCCCTAAAACTAAGGCTACATACGATATGATGTGCAAAGACCACAGATTTCTTTCATGTATCATTTTAACATTTATATTGTTTTAAAAATTTTAAAAATAAGAAAAATGCCAAAAGGAGACTAACAATCACCACTATTTTTTAAAATTTGATAAAAAACAATTCCTTTTTAACTTTAAACACTGTAGAGAAGTAAATATTTGATGATAATAATAATAATAACCCAAATCCTGAGACTCAAAAGTAAGTGATTTCAACTCCTAAATATATAGGTACTCTCTCCAAAGGTGGTTCTAGAACTTGATATCTTGAGAAATTCTCTTCCCTTAGCTTATCGCTCCCACATTTGCTTCTTTCTCAATAAAAGTAGAAGTAGATGTGGGCAGCTATTTAATCTCCGCTTGAATTTCTGAAAATTAATTAGCAGATCACAGCCTGAGGCAACTGCCTCCCTTGAAATGTTCCATTCTTCCAGAACCCATCAATTTTCCCCAAATTGCTCTTCTGCTAGTATTCATGATTAATTCGCTCAATAAGCTGTTAATTAGTATCTGGACTCTCAGATATTCTTTGCCTGAATTTTTTTTCTGAGAATATAAAACAAACATTATTTCTCATGTTATCATCTGCTTTTGCCTAAATTTGATACTGTAAAAATATATTGACTATTTCTAAGTAAAGTTCTTCTAACCATATCCATACCATTTCTCAAATGCTTTTTCTTTGCACCACATACTTTTTAAAAATTATGTTTTTATGTAATTCAGAGAGAAAGGGAGAGGGAGAGAGAGATAGAAACATCAATGAAAGAGAATCATCGATCTGCTGCCTCCTGCACACCCCACACTGGGGATCGAGCCTGCAACCTGGGTATGTGCCTTGACTGGGAATCGAACCGTGACCTCCTGGTTCATAGGTCGACCCTCAACCACTGAGCAATGGCAGCTAGGCTGCACCACATCCTATCAAATAAAGAGGTAATATGCAAATTGACCATCACTCCAACACACAAGATGGCTGCCCCCATGTGGACACAAGATGGCCACCACAAGATGGCCAGCAGGAGAGGGCAGTTGTGGGCAATCAGGCCAGCAGGGCAGGGCAGTTGGGAGGGACCAGGCCTGAAAGGGAGGGCAGTTGGGGGCAACCAGGCCTGCAGGGGAGGGCAGTTGGGGGGGACCCAGGCCTGCAGGGGAGGGCAATTGGGGGGGACCAGGCCTGCAGGGGAGGGCAGTTGGGGGCAACCAAGCCAACAGGGGAGGACAGTTGGGGGGGACCAGGCCGGCAGGGGAGGGCAGTTGGGAGGGACCAGGCCTGCAGGGGAGGGCAGTTGGGGGCGACCAAACCAACAGGGGAGGGCAGTTGGGGGGGGGACCAGGCTGGCAGGGGAGGGCAGTTGGGAGGGACCAGGCCTGAAAGGGAGGGCAGTTGTGGGCAATCAGGCCAGCAGGGGAGGGCAGTTGGGGGTGACCAGGCCTGAAAGGGAGGGCAGTTGGGAGGGACCAGGCCTGAAAGGGAGGGCAGTTGTGGGCAATCAGGCCAGCAGGGGAGGGCAATTGGGGGGGACCAGGCCTGCAGGGAGGGCAGTTGGGGGAGGGACCAGGCCTGCAGGGGAAGGCAGCTTAGTGAGACCAAGCCAACAGGGGAGGGCAGTTCGGGGGGACCAGGCCTGCAGGGGAGGGCAGTTGGGTGTGACCAGGTGGCAGGGGAGGGCAGTTAGGGGCAATCGGGCTATCAGGAGAAGAGTTAGGTGTCGATCAGGCTGGCAGGGAAGCAGTTAGGCATTGATCAGGCTCGCAGGGGAGGGCAGGTGGGGGCAATCAGGCAGGCAGGCAGGTGAGCAGTTGGGAGTCAGCAGTCCTGGATTGTGAGTGGGATGTCTGACTGCCTGTTTAGTCCTGATCCTGGTGGGCAGTCAGACATCCCTCAAGGGGTTCCCAGATTAGAGAGGGTACAGGCTGGGCTGAGGGATACACCCCCCACACACACACAAATTTTGTGCACCAGGCCTCTAGTTCTTAATAATGTTATTTACCACATCTTATAATTACTCTGTGCTTTGCTATTACTTCACAGGCATTCTGAGTAGCAGTTTAAGTAATATCTTTTTTAAAAAGTAGAGAACATTTAATATTTTAAGTTATTTGAGTATTTGATAGACACTTTAAGGCTATCATAGATATAATATATTAATATTTCAGCAATTATAAAGGAGACTATACAAAGAATGGGTAAAAACATCAAAAAATGCTTATTTCTCAATGTAGAGCTCCATTTCCATGTACTTGATAATCAAACTCTGGGTAGAATGCCTGATTAAAATCCTCAGATAATCTCCAGACCTCATTTTGTTCAATACTTGCAAAGTCTAACCTTTGAATCATTTTTTTTTCACAGTGAATAGAAAAGCAGAGCAATCTGGGCTTAATCTTTTTCTTTCCTTTACCTATTTAGTTGGAGAATAGCTAATGAACGTGCCTTTTGAATAAATCAAAGAGGTACCCCAGTCTCAAAGGAGATTCTCAAACTCCGCAAAATTGAGTTAGCTGTAATCTTTATGGTAAAGATGGATAGAAAAAAATGCAAATCTAAGGATTTTATTGACTTACTTGAAGCTAACAATCATGATTAACTCAGAGACATCAGAAAGCAATTTAATCAAATAACCTGGCTCAGGAACATTCTATTCTACCTAATCAATGTCCTTGAGTTTAGAAATTCAGTGATAAACTCAGCTTATTTATGAAACCAGTATCTTGGATGTTCCAAAGACAGAAGAGAAAACAACTCATTTTGTTGTTATTCTCTGCACTTTGGTTCACACTATCCATTTCCTAGATGCTCATCTACTCATATTATTACTGAAGCCATGGCAGAAAGAGCACGTTTAAACTCTTGGTATTAAGGAAGAAATAAATCGAAAGAAGCTAAAATTATACAATACTGTAGGTTAAGCAGTGGAATATGTTCTGGTAATTGAAGAGTGGGCCAAAGTCAGGGAGTGTAACCTACTTAAGAGGTACGAAGGAATGATATTCCTTTTTTCCCTCTGCAGTGGTGGCATGCAGCTCTTTTCAAGTAAAATGATCAACATGGCATCAAACTGATTCTATTCAGGGCATGAATATATCAGCCTCAAGAATAACTTCTTATTGAATCCTTTCCCAGTAGGGAATTAAGATCTTTATTATAAGCCTTCATGAAGCTATACATGGGCCAGTCTTCAGGGTTGTGTCTAAATCAAATAGCAAATTATCTAGTCCAAGACACGTTTTTATGCATCATGGGGAAAATATAAAAGGATTGATTTTTAGATTCATTCTATCATTCCTGTGTCCAGAAGTTCTTTAAAAAGTGTTTCACGTCTCATTATTCTCTTTAAATGCCTTCTCTCCTGGGAATATACCTATAATATTTAGATAGTGATATTCCTTGCCAATTAGCGCACAGAGCACTTTTTAAATTATATATACTACTGACTGCATTCCTTTCCAAACAATTGCCTCCATTTGTGTAGATTGTTTTTTTTCCATCTCTACTTGATAGTTGGCTCCTTGACGACCAGAACTGGGATTTATTTATTGCTATATTTTTACAGTACTGAGAACAGTGCTTGCAATGCTACTTGGTAAGAACTGATTGAAAGATAAATAATTCAATATTGTTGGAAAAAACTGCAAGTCATATTACTGTAAGAAATTATTTACAAAGTGCTCATATCTGAGCACTGCTGATCACTCATGTAATTTTAAAGTGTGGCTAAAATCACTCCCCTGTCCTAATCCTTTCTGATAATCTTTTGAATTTAATTAGAATAAAAATGTCTTAACTTCTCTTGCTTATACTGATGGATTATGTTCCCACAGTAAAATGTGTGAGGAATATAAAGTTTTATCATTCATTTGGTTTTTTTCACTTCCTAAGTTAGTAATTTTATTTTATTAATTTATCTTAATTGTCGTTGTGATTTGAGAAGATGCTTGATATGATTTCAATCTTCTTGAACTTGTAGAGATTTGTTTCGTGCCCTAACATGGTGTCTATCTTTGTGAATGACCCAACTGCACTTGAGAAGAATGTATATTCTATAGCTTTGGGGTGAAATGTTCTATAAATGTCAATTAAATCCATCTGATCCAGTGTGTCATTTAGAGTCACTGTTTTCTTAATTTTTTTGCCTGGAAGATCTATCCAGGGATGTCAGTGTTGTGTTAAAGTCCCTGCTAAGATTGTATTGCTGTCAATTCTCTATTGGGTACATGTATGTTTACCAGAGTTATATCCTCTTGTTGGATCAATCCCTTTCATGGTTTCTGATAACTTTGACATTGGAAATTCCTATGGTATCAACATGGCCAAATCCTTGCCTCTTGGGATGTTAATGCATCTAAAAGAATGAGAGTTATGCCCTCAAGCATTACACAGAGACAAAGGTGAATGCATTTCATTAATAGGCATCTGCATCATTTTCTTTTGGTCTGACTTTTATTAATCTTGGCAACATTGTTTTTTTTTTCTACTTTATTTTAAATAGTTATTCTATATAGTTGATCTTGAACAACATGGTGGTTAGGGTGCCAATGCCAGCTCCGCCCCCCTCCCCCCAGTTGAAAACTCATATGTAACTTTTTACTCCAGCAAAAACTTAACGACTAATATACTTTTGAGCAAAAGCCTTCCCAATAACATAAATAATTGCTTAACATATGTTTTGTGTTATATATATTATATACTGTGTTCTTACAATAAAGTAAGCTAGAGAAAAAAATAGGTAGTTAAGAAAATCATAAGGAAGAGAAAATACACTTATAATATTTATTTTTAAAAATCTGTGTATAAGTGAACCCACACAGTTCAAATCCAGATATTGAAGGGTCAACTGTAGTTTAATGGATGAGAAATATAAAGCTATCTAACTTAAGAAAAAATTCTGCTTCTCTACTCAGAAGTTAATATTTCATCCTAAACTAAATACAAACCTCATAAAACAGTATCATAGGTGGAATAAACTTAAATACAGTCAATCCTCATTATTCATGAATTCCATTATTTGCAAACTCACCTCCTTGCTAAAATTGATTTGTAACCACAAAATCAATAGTCAACGTGCTTTAATAGCAGTTTGTGGACATGTGCAGAGTGGCAAAAAGTTCCAGTCACTGGTCACACAAGTTCCCAGCTGAGGTCAAACAAGGTGACACTGGGCCTCTCTGTGTCAGTTTTAATATACAGATTACCAGAGGATGGAGACCATAGAGGGCAGTACAAAAGTGAAAGAAGCTCCAGCTCTGGGACCAGGTGGACAGGATTTGACACCCTTCCTTGGTACCTATTACTGGAACAGTCGCAGACAAGTTATTTAAAACTTCTGAACCTCATTTTCTTTGTGTAAAGAAAGTGGAATCTATCAGGACAGGTTCTTCTTATGATTTATGATTATAATGTATGTGGTGATATATAATGGTTCAGTATTCACTAATTGAATGTTTGCAGGAATTTTATAGAGCATAATTACCATGATTAATGAGAATCCACTGTATTTAGTCATGCGCATATTTATTCTGTTTTCATGCACATAAACCTGTACCACATAAGAGAATAAGAAAAGTATAAATTATCTATACTAATAACAGGGTAATATGCTAATGGTCGGGATGCCCTCACATGTAACGACTGATCAGCAGGCTTCGTGTGCAGCAGGTGCGGGTGAGAGTGGACTTGCAGCATCAGGGACTTGCGTCATGCCGTCACAATCCATCACCAGGAGGCCTGGGGCCCAGAGGAGACCTCTGTGCAGAACCACAGGGGGTCCGCAGACCTCCGCGTGGCCTGGCCTGGAGGTGGGGCCCGGCAGAGGCCTCTGTGCAGCTAGGCCTGGGGGTCCCTTGGCTCCGCATGGTGAGGCCTGGGGTCCTGTGGCTCTGCGCAGCATGGAGGCAGGACCTCCAGCTGTGGCCTACCTCTTTGGGGCAATCCATTGAGGAGCCCTGGATGGGTAGGCAGGGCCTACCTCTTTGGGGCGATGGATTGCAGGGCTCCCACACTGTGACAGGTCACAGGCCAGAATGGGGAACCCCCTCCCCCCTGAGTGCACAAATTTTGTGCACCGAGGACACTAAAATATATGTGTGTGTGTGGGTGGGTGTGTATATATATATATATATATATATATATATATATATATATATATAATAAATTAGATATTTCAAATAAATGAAAAATGTTATTGAATTACAGAACAAGTTTACTTAAATTTCTCAGAATCTTTCCTCAAATAATTATTAGCATAAAATGTGTATATATTTACCTGTGGAGTCTGAAGTGAACAAACTGTCCAGATGCATTTAATTGGGATGTAAAGCAGATAAATGTTGAGGATTCCACCAAAGTGGCCCTAAAATAAAGAAATAAAAAAATTATTCTGGATTCTACCATAACAAAATTCAGATGACCACAAAATATTCTTTTTAAATTTTTTTATCATTCATAAAATATAATTAGAATCAGAATAAATTGTAGTTTAAAAAGTCCACAAGTTCTCATTCTACAACTCAAAACACATATATCAGAAAGAGTGGAAAAATCTGGAATGGAAATATGTAAAAAATAATATTATTTGATAATGAAAGGCATCACTAAATTCTCATAGCAAGGAAATTTAGAATATAAATGACTACCCAAATTATATTCCAGAAACAAAGAGGAAATCACACATTGGCCTTCATGCATTATTAGAGGTGTATACATTTAATAATTTCTAATCCTATTTCCAAATAATAGAAATGTTTCTTTTGGGAGTAGGCACATGAGGGAACAGACTGACATTGGAGCTCTTCAAAAAAGTCCCATTCCTGAGTATGGCTACTGTTTTAACTGTCTCACAGCTCCCTAGAAAAATTCAGTTGACTCAGTGCTGCCTTTATTTGACCTAACTCAAAGAAAAACACATATCACCTGAATGTTTGTTGAAAACAGTCAGTAGCACTTGTACCTAACGCTGCTACACCAGTTGGAACAGATATGAGCCAACTAAAACATAAAAGAAACATCTGGGGAACCAGATGCCCATATGCAGGGATGCAGTAGCTTGCTAGATCCCACAAATATGTCAAAGATCTTCAACACTATGAGAGACAATGATGTCTCACCAAATAAAAAATGTCAATAAAGATAGATTATACAAAATAACCAATTATAAATTCCACACTTAAAAAGTAAATTATCTGAAATAAAAAATCACTAGAGGGCCTTAACAGTAGGTTTGAGGTGGTAAAAGAACCAATGCACTTGAAAATAGGTAGAATAAAATTATTAATTCTAAAGAACAGAAAAAACATCAAGTAGAGAACATAAAACAAAGAGACTGAAATTAATAAGAAAACCAAATGGAAATTCTGGAGATGGAAAGTACAATAAAATATATGAAAAAATCACTAGAGAGGCTCAACAGTAGATTTGAACGGGCAGGACAAAAAGAATTAACAAACTTGAAAATTGATAGAGATTATGCAATCTAAAGAAGAGAGAAAAAAATAATAAAGAAAACACAGCAGAGTCTCAAACATATACAGAACACCATTAAATTGACCACCATAGCATTACCAAATTGAAAGGAAAAAAAGCAGTTTGAAATACAGGGTGGGTGAACAGAGCTGGAATCATTATACTCGCTGATTTCAAACTGTACTACAAAGCTATAATAACTAAAACAGTATGGTATGGGCATAAAAGCAGACACATAAATCAATGGAACAGAATAGAGGGCCCAGAAATAAATTCATGCATATATGGTCAATAATGTAAGACAAAGAAGACAAGAATATACAATTGGGAAAGGTGTCTCTAAAATAAATGGTGTGGGAAAACTGGACAGTCACATGCAAAAATAATAAAAGTTGACCACACCAACTTACACCATACATAAAAATTAACTCAAAATGGATGAAATACTTGAATGTAAGACCTAACATTGGAGCTCTTCAAAAAAGTCCCATTTATGGCTACTGTTTCTTTAAGAAGAAAATATAGATGTTAAGCTCCCTGACATAGTTCTGGGCAAATATTTTTTTAATGACACCAAAGGCAAAAATAGCAAAAGCAAAAATAAACAAATGGGACTACATCAAACTAAAAGGCTTCTGCACAACAAAATGAAAGAGCAGACTATATCATGGGAGAAACCATTTGTAATGCTATGTCTAATAAGGGACTAATGTCAAAAATATAAAAATAACTCAAAGAACTCAATAGCAATACACACACACACACACACGCATGTGAATAAATATTTTTTTCATAAAAAACATACAGCCGAAACCAGTTTGGCTCAGTGGATAGAGCGTCGGCCTGTGGACTGAAAGATCCCAGGTTCGATTCTGGTCAAGGGCATGTACCTGGGTCGCGGGCACATCCCCAATAGGAGATGTGCAGGAGGCAGCTGATAGGTGTTTCTCTCTCATCGATGTTTCTAACTCTATCTCTCTCCCTTCCTCTCTGTAAAAAATCAATAAAATATATTTTTTAAAAAAACAAACCAAAAAAAACATACAGATGGCCAACAGGTACATCAGTAATCATCAGGGAAATGCAAATCAAAACCACAATGAGATAACACCTCACAGTTATTAGAATGGCTATTATCAAAATATCATGGAATAACAAGTGCTGATGAGGATGTGGAAAAAAGGGAAACCTCGCTCATTGTTGGTGGGATTGTAAAATGGCGCAGCTAATATAAAAAACAGTTTGAAGGCTCCTCAACATGTTAAAAAGAGAGCTGTCAAACTACCTAGCACTACCACTTTAGGGTATTTACCCAGAGAAAACAAAAACAATAATTCCAAAAGATATTTGTACCTCTATGTTCATTGCAGCATTATTTACAACTAGAGGCTTGATACATGAAATTCGTGCAAGGGGCTGGGCCCTTGCAGCCCTGGCTGCTTCAGCCAGCCCTCTGCCCCAACTTCGTCCAGAAGGTCATCTGAAAGGTTGTTCAGCTACCTGGTCTAATTAGCATATTAGCTCTTCATTATATAGGATGGCCGAAATATGGAAACAACCTAGGTGCCTATAGATAGATGAACAGATGAATAAATTGTGGTATATATACACAATGAAATATTACTCCACCAGGAAAAGGATATTCCTAGAGGGTATTATGCTAAGTAAAATAAGTAATACAGAGAAATCTAAGACCTTATTAATTCACCTATATGTGGAATCTAAAAAAAAAAAATACTATACAAAACAAATGAATAAGCAAAACAAAACGGAAACCAATTCAAAAATATAAAGAACGTGCTAATGGTTGCCGAAGGGGAGTGGGGTGAGGATACCGGTAAAAAAAAAAAACCCACAAAGATGAAATCTTGTCATTTGTGACAACATGGATGGAATTTGAAGGCCATATCCTAAGTGAAATAAGTCAGGCACAGAAAGACAAATATTATATGAACTCTCTTATGTATGAAATCTAAACAAAACAAAAATCCAGCTCAAAGATACAGAGAGCAGATTGGTGGTTCTCAGAGGTGGGGGATGGATGGATAGGAGAAATGGATGAAGAGAGTCAAATGATAAAACAAAAGAAAAAGAATTAAACATTTATCTTACTTTTCTTATAGGAACTTCACCCTTGGATATACAAATGATGGGAAGTCCTCTTTATAAAATATTCCAACAAACATATTTCATAAATGATAGAAATGCAATATCACCATTTTGCAACCCCAATAAATAATGGATGTACTCATTGGGAATCAATAGCTGCTAGCATTCCCCCCAAAACACATGCTTCCTGGTAAAAGATGCATCACTTCCTTTAATCTTTAATTTTAAACAAAATTCCAACAATGCATTTCATAAGTCAATAAAACTTAAAATGCTGCATTAGTAAATATTCACTTAATCCTATCTAATAAAAGAGAAACATGCAAATTGACCATAACCCTGACATGCTTCCCATTGGCTAATCAGGGCGATATGCAAATTAACTGCCAACCAAGATGGTGGCCGGCAGCCAGGCAGCTGAAGCGAACAGGAGGCTTGCTTGCTCCGTTCCCAGCCTGCAGCTGCCAGCCTCTGAGCTGCACTCTAAGCAACTATGAGGCAATTACAGAAGCTAAACAAGCTCCAGAGACCTGCTTTCAGCCAGCTTCAGCCTCAGAGCTTAGAGCTGCTGTGATGGCAACAGAGTTTCAATTATAGAAGCCAAACAGACCCAGAACCTGCTTTCAGCCCTCAGAGCTGGAGCCGGCTCTCAGCTCCAGTGACAGCTATAGAAGGTAAATAAATCCCAGAATAAAAAAAAAAGAAAAAAAGGAGAGGCTGGGAGCTTAAGTTGCCCTCCAGCCTAAAAACGGCTCTCAGGCCCTCACCCAGACTGGCCAGGCACCCCAGTGGGGACCCCCACCCTGAAGGGGGTATGGCCAGCTGCAAACAGCCATCAGCCCATCATCCAGGCTGGCTAGGCACCCAAGCAGGACTCCCACCCTGATCTGGAACACTTTCAGGGCAAACCAGCCGGCCCCCACCCGTGCACCAGGCCTCTATCCTATACTACAGGCAGGGCGGGACAGCGCGAGCTGCCATCCGGGCCCCATGTGCAGCCCTGGGCAGCGGGGCATAAGCCCCGCCCCCAGCCGGGACCCCTGTGTGCCACCTGAGCCCCCATCTGGGACCCCCGTGCCGCCTAAGCCCCGCACTGCTAAGCCCCGCCCCCAGCCAGGACCCTATGACTATTGGAGAGCAGGAAAGTGCTGCTGGGCCCTGGGTCGCTGTGGTGATCCAGCCTTCGGTAAGTAGAAAAGTGCGGCCTGTAGGCAGCTGCCAGCTGTGCCTAATCTGGGAGCAGGAAAGCAAGCCTGGACTGAGGGCAGCCCCCAGCTGGGCCTGATCTGGGAGCAGGAAAGCAAGCCCGGCCTGCAGGCAGCCCCCAGCTGCGCCTTCTCCCCAGTCACCATGAGGATCCGGGAGCAGGAAAGCAAGCCTGGCCTGCGGGCAGCCCCCAGCTAGGCCTGCTCCCTGGTTGCCATGGGGATCCGGAAGCAGGAGAGCAAGCCTGGCCTGCGGGCAGCTCCAAGCTGGGCCTGCTCCCCAGTTGCCATGGAGATCTGGGAGCGGAAAAGCCCAGCCTGTGGGAAGCCCCCAGCTAGGCCTGCTCCCCGGTCGCCATGGCGATCCAGGAGCAGGAAAGCCTGGCTTGCAAGCAGCACCCCCATCCTGGCCATAGCTCAAGGGAGAGTACAACATGTAGTGGAGGCCAGGAGCCTGAGAGATCAACACAGAGGCCCCCAGCAGACACACACACACAAACACACACACACACACACAGTGCCTGCTCTGAGCCTCCGATGTGGCTGGGGGGCAGACCCCCAGTGGGGACACACACAC